AGTGTCCAACAATAAAAGTGCACACCAATAATAGTGTCCAACAATAAAAGTGCACACCAATAATAGTGCACACCAATAATAGTGCACACCAATAATAGTGTTCACAAATAATAGTTCACACCAATAATAGTGTTCACCAATAATAGTGCACACAAATAATAGTGTTCACTAATAATAGTGCACACTAAAAAATAGTGTTCACCAATAATAGTGCACACAAGCAATAGTGCACACCAATAATAGTGCACACCAATAATAGTGTTCACTAATAATAGTGCACACCAATAATAGTGTTCGCCAATAATAGTGTTCACTAATAATAGTGTTCACCAAAAATAGTGCACACAAGCAATAGTGCACACCAATAATAGTGCACACCAATAATAGTGTTCACTAATAATAGTGCACACCAATAATAGTGTTCACTAATAATAGTGTTTGCCAATAATGGTGCTCACCAATAATAGTAATTATTAATACTATATTAACAATAGTGCTCACCTTGGTCATCGTCGTGTATTATTTCACCACTTAGTTTCCTCTTGGTGACATCCTTGTGAGATACCAGGAAAAGTACCACGTTGCCCTTTTCATTCTTGATTGGTACAATGTCCAGTAAGCAATAGAATGGGGAGCCTGCAATAGGTGAGAAAAACGCATTAAAACTCATCTAAACTTTCAAAAATTCATGAGTATCTATAAATTCCGCATTGTACAAGGAGATCGTGTGATTTTTTGTTCATAATACACTAAACAAAATTAAGCAACTTAATTGGAACTCTACAGAGTACAATTATGGATTAAATTGTACTCCTCTTGTTCAATCAGAATCGCGTAATTTTGTATTCATAAAGTGCTAAATAGATTTAATTTGTAATGCTTCACAGATTTAGTGTAAGCACTCTAGAAGGAAATCTTTATTTCTTTATTTGATTATGACTATCACCACGAAAGAATCTTTATAATAACTTAAATTGATGTCAAAGGTTTTAGTCCTAGAAGGTTTTTTCTTATTAAAATTTGAATCATTCAACTTTTAAGTCAAAAATACTATCGCCGCGAGCTATCTAAAGTAATTCCAACATCCCTCCAAATACTCTTGGAAAATCTTCACGTGACTTTAAGAGACTTAGCTAATAATCATCTTAAGAACTTTTTAAATACCGAAGTAATAAAGCTATCGCCGCATGATGTCTCTTAAGATTCCAACAGTCCCCATCCAACATGACGGGAATTGATCACGTGACCCTCTTAGTGCGTGCATTTCCATGGGAACTCCCCAAGGTCGCGCAGTAGGTATTTATTTTACTTGTTTTTATGTTCCTTAAAGACGCACCAGGAAATCAATTAACTTCGTATGAGTTTACATCATGAGATTTAATTTTCCCTTTCGTTAAAGTCTGAAAGGTTTTTTACTGCAAGAATGGCCATTTGATCTTGTTAGCTTACAAACCAAGTCATAAGTCGATCAAAGCCGGCAGCCGGTTGTCTGATAGATAACCTAATAAGCCTATTATAATGTGGTAAAAGGGTTTTACTGGGCTCGATAGTATCTGATTTTGGGAGTTTCCGACCAGTCACTTCAGAAGATGCTCTTGATCCTTTAATCTTTTAACTGTCACACTCCTTGATGAATAAATGAGAAATAACGCCAAGTAATAAGCATAAGTGCTTGGGCCACTTTAAAAGATTATTATCATTTGTAATCACCTATAAGAGTGAATTTAGCTCCGTGTTTGCGCAGGTTCCAAGAACAGCTGCTATCTGCAGTTCTCTTCAAGATTTCCGTCGAATTTGGATTTTAAGAGTTTTGATTTCTCTGTGACGCTTTTGTGCCTAAGTGTCTTTAGTTTAAGTTCCTTTGGAGTAATGTATCCTAATTTTCAAACATTGACAAGAAACGCCTAAACTTGGCGACTGGGAAATGAGAAAGTTATGAAAGAAGAGTAAACTAAATAGCTTGAAATTGGGTCGGTAGTGTGCAGAGGGATTTAAAGGAGCACTGTGAATGGTGGCGTGTCATTTTTCAAACTTGCCCACATTGCGGGGCACATTTGCAGCCACTTTAAGTAACATCGGCAATATGGCAATATATAGATGTCTTGAAAAAAGCCTATCGTTTTAAGAAGATTACATGGTAGATCTTCATATTTTCAATTCCAAAATCAACCAGAATTTTTCTTGTCGAGTGCGGTAAAGATTGCTTTTTTAAGTATAACAACCATTAATTTGGTGAACCAATTCCACGACAAATATCATCATGCGTGGTTGTTGACTTATAAAAATCCGATGTAAAAGTTAAGAATTAATATCTTAGTATGAAAGTGGACTATTATCTGTAACAACCTATCATTGCAGCAGTCCATTAGGTCATAGTTAATGGAATTTATAGAAAACGTACTCAAATTCAAAGCTCGAACGACCAATATATCGTTAACGCGAATAAAATAGAGCAGAGTTGACAAGGTTATGTAGGATTTTAATTTCAGAAAGTCGTACTGTCCCAATACTTTGAAGCTTCGAGGAAGATATTTTTATATGATAAACTATTAACTGAGAGAGCAGGATTATAACTTTGAGGAGAAAGAAAATAGGTGGTTGATAAGAGAAATTTCAAAATGAAAAGCGTGGGCTTTTGTGATTTCTTTATCTAAAAAGCATGACAAGAAAATAGAAAATGTCCGGAGGAGAAAAAATAGAAAAGCGAAATAAGCTATCAGAAATACTACGGGTTAATATAATTGAAAAACACATCAATCAAAAATCCTATTTGTTATTTTCAATTCTAAATATATATATATATAAGCGTTTTCTTAATCGGGGTTCAATTTGATTTAGTACTTTGACGTTACTTATCTTTTAATGGATTGTTTTTTAAGATTTTCTTTCGATTGATCAGGAATGAATGATATTTACTCAATGAAAAACTTATACAATACGCTCTGAAAAGGAGTGGTTTCCCCGAATCGTGGGAAGTTTTATGTAGTTTATTATAGCAAGTATCAGAGCTGCTTCTAGAATGCAAATAAGATGCACAATAATATAAAATATAGAAGGCTTAGCACGCAAACTAAGCTGGTAACTATAATGGGGAATGCTTTTTGTGCTAGTAGATTAGCACAAAACGTGTGGGACGCTTTTTATTCTACATCGTAGGTAAGGAAACGATGTAACAAAAATACAAAATAGAACACAATTGTATGACATTCTTGCTGTCAAACAAACAAATAAGAATCGATTAAAATCTGAAAGAAGATTACTACGCATGTCAAGAAAACCTCTTGATTGAAATCAAAGGTGTTACTTTATTACTTTATACCTCGTAAAATTTCGATAAAAGATATCTAAAAATATCAGCTGAATAAAGGCGATTTTGTACTCAAGTCAGAGACAAGCTTAAGTGATCGGTTAAAAACATCAAACTTTTTCCGCACCTATTTTATAAAGTAATTGCGGTTTCACATCCAATCTAATCAATCCCGCTTTCGACAGCTCCATAAATGATAGGTTTTATTGTCAGTAAACAATTGGAGAAATGATATAATTAAAAGATGAACACAATCTAAGTGGATACGTTCTAAGAGCAGTTTAATATGATTGTAAAATGTTACAAAGGATGTTTTTTCCCTTGATGTTCCTAAAAAAGCTGGCATATGGACATATCTATTTGTATATATAGCATGTAATATCAAACAATGAAGACCCATGATGAAAATGGCAACGGAATTTTGGCCGAACACTGATGTTGAAGTCAAAAGTTGTTAATTTTACTGTCTAACTTCCTTCCTAAACGTACTGATCAAACGAACGAAAAGAGAATAAACAAACATAGTATAAGAAAGAAAACAAGCAAACAAGGATAATAATATTGCTAACTGGAGTCTCTGCAATTTATGGAATAAAATAATAAATCAATTGGAAAGAAAAATATAAAATTTGAGTAAATGTGAAAAAACTAAAGATAATTAGAAAATAGATGAGTTGAATTGTTCAAGTGAAAGAGTTTATATTTTCAGCATGTAGATCTTTATAAGTTAGGGGCAAGCAAAAAAGAATGACCTTAATCCATACATACAAAAGCAAAGAAAACAACAAGGAAGCCGAAAAAAAAAAAAAAAAAAAAAAAAAGGAAAACAGAACGAAAATATAAATAAGAAAATGAACTTGATAATGAAACGGAAAAAAGGAAAGAGCGATGGGAGCCGATAAAAAGCGTTCATAAACGGATGTGTCTTAAAACATTTACTGTATTACCCCAGGTGTCAGAACATCGAATTATTATTGGAACAAATCATTAACATTAAACTTGTGTGTTTGGTCTCAAAACCTAGTTTAACGATTAYGTTGACACGTCTTCTCCTTTTGCGGGGCAAACAAGCCTCAGGAATTGTATAGTTTAGATAAATTATGTTCAAATAATATGTCATTCAAATCACTTTTCTTAAATGAAATCGCCAAATACTAAAGCAGGTGCGTTTATTTCCATTCTAAATGTATTTTCAATAAACCAAAAGAACGTTAAATAACAGGATGCATTATTCATCTCGACAAGGTGTCTGGGGGAGCCATTCTCGGAGCGTAATTGGTCGATCCAGCATCAGATATATTATTTCAAAGCTCTCCGTCAAACCAAGACCGACTGGAGACGAAAGTAGTTACTGTACGCAGAGCCTGTAAGACTTGACGCCGGTGAGATAAAATTACAAGTTTGGCTTTCTAGACAAGCAACACAACAGCTATACAGACAGAGATCTTGTTATTCATATGACCAGAAGAAAATATTCAAAGAAAATGAATGTCAATGATGGAATCTACCGGTACGGTATCTCAAGAAAAGCTGTCGCTCTAAAGATACATGGCTTAACAAATGATATGGTTATGGCTCCGAAATGAAAAGGTAACTTTACCGTGTTTTATTTTCAATTCTGTATGCTCGTTAAATTAAAATTTTGAAAAATGTACAATTTTTACTAAATTTTTAAATTCTTTTGTCGTATTCTGATGAAAAAATTAAATTCGCAACAATTTTAATGAAAACTTTAGGTGATGATAATGAATTCATTTGATCCCACAAAACGATAGTTTGCTCAATGTAGATAAATATTCTTCGATAATGGATAAACATAATGATTTACATCCTTTGGGGTTCATGGTAATTTTGGCAATATTTCAAAACAATGCTGATCACGTATCTGTAATCGAGTAAGGAGAAAGTGCGATGATTTTAAAGAAATTTCTTCATCGAAGCGATTGAATGTCTGGATTGTTTTAATGGAAATATACCAACGCAATTTAGAATTTTTTTAACCAGATTCTTGGACTTTCATTTGCAAAATAGTGTTTATCAAACATATCCATAGCGTTAGGCATATCCACAGAGAACTCTGTATTTCTTGAGAAGTGAAATTTCTACTATTTGCCACTGAAAGGGCTCATATGCCTCTTAGTCTTTAACATCCCGCCGTGGGAAAATTAAATTAAGGCGTTGTCCCTACCACTAACTGCCACCTTAAATTCATGTAAACAGGACTTAATAATCGCAAAAACAATTTGTAGTTGAACCTACAGCTTTAGTGTTCATTCTTTTATTTCATTTCATTCAAATCATTTCATTGCTGCCTTTTGAAATGATACAC